TCTTTTTAGGGTCAAACAAAGATTTTTTATTTTTTCTCTTTACTTTATAATTAATTTCCCATTTAAATCAATTCACTATTTTTGATTCTTTTAAAACAATATAATATACAAAGAAAAAGTAGAAAAACAGTACAGTTAAAAAAAACCAAGAAATAACAACTTCTACAGATATACCCTCCTGATTTACCTTTAAACAATTTATGGAGTTAACAAATATATAATACTGACGTTAAGAAAGAGAGAAGCATTGCTTAGATTCAGGAGATATTCTGTTCTTTATGTTTTTCCTTTGGATTTTTCGTTGCAACTTACGACCGGTTTTGTTCCCCTTTCGGAGCTTATGTGCGGCAGCGAGATTCAGCGCCGGGGAGAGAGCCCTGGTTGATCAGACCTGCCTTTTTGGATTCACAACCTCCGCTCTTGGTCTGTTTCAGCCCACCTTATATACCCTGTTTTGGTATTTTGGTATCCTCCACTCGCCTGACAATTGCTGACGTTAGATTTTTGTTGTCTCATGCTGCCCTTACAAAAACTTTCGTCTGCTCCATTTGGGGTAATCAGCACTTTGTTGCATACTGCTGTCTGAGTTACTTACTTCCCTAAAAGCGGGGTTATTGTTGGTCATCCAATCAAATTTTGTTTTTATTTTTATCTCCTGTATCTCACAATGCTGCCTTTCCTTTACACTTACAATTAAACTGGTGCTCATTTGACATATTCTGTGTAGGCCTCAATACCTTCCTTTCACAGTAGGGTGCAGAAGTGGGGTAGAAATGCAGGGTCTAGGTCGGAGGGGGTGCAGGAGGGGGTGGGAGTGCAGGGTATGGGCGGGAGGTAGGGTGCAGGAGTGGGGTGGGGGTGAGTTCTAGGCGGGAGGTAGGGTGCGGGAGTGGGGTAGAAATGCAGGCTCTAGGTGGGACGGGGTGCAGGAATGGGGTAGGGGACAGAGGTGCCTGCTTGGCACAGTTCCCTGGGAGGAGGTGCGTGGCTTTTTTTTTTTTCATTGTTTGGCTTCTTGTGTGGCTGGGGGCTAGGGGTGTCCTATAGCCCCTCCCTCCAACCGAAATGCATGTCGGAACTGAGGGGCAGGTGGGAACAGATCCCGCTGCACAGGAGAGCTCAGGGCTGGTGGACGGGAAGTGTCGCGTCTGTGAAAGCAGGAACCGGCTGAGATAGCAACCGGGCGCCCAGGCAGCAAGAGGCCGACTGGAAGTAACAAGTTGTTCTGGGTGACGAGAAAGCCGCGTGCGCTGGCCGAGCAGGGACCGGAGCAGGGAGGAAGGGGCGGGTTTTGAAAGCTGGGGATTTTCCTGGGAAAAGAGGGGGTGTTTCCCACTGAGTCTGTCTGTCCCATCAAGTAGACCAAAGATATCTTTAGGGCAGGGATGGCCAATAATTTTTGGTGGGGGGAGGCACTCCAAGAATTTGGTAAGCGGCGAAGGGCCCCGCTCTTGTATGATGCTAATGGAGATGTGGTTGTGGGATGGAGGTTGGGTTCAGAGGGGAGCTCAGGGTAGGGGATTGCAGGGGGGGGCGTGGGGCCTGAGGGGGAGTTAGGGTGAAGGAGGGGGGTTGTGACCTGTGGCAGGGGATGAGGTGCAGGGTCCGGCAGAGGAGATGGGTGCAGGAGAGGATTCTGACCTGGACGAAAGATTAGTTGGGATTGGTCCTGCCTTGGGCAGGGGGCTGATGACTCCTGAGGACTCTTCCAGCTCTAGGACTCTATGAAGGGTGCATGGAGGGAGTTTGAACAGCACCTAGCCCTATGGGGCCACAATTTGTATTGAAACCTCTCCATAGAATTGGAATGCAAATGATTAGAAAATACATAATTCATTTCTTGTATCTTCCCACTAGCTCCCTAACAAAACAGGATCTCAGAAGTTCATGAACTGATCAAACTTGTCTAACTGACAAAATAACAGGAAATGTACACATGGGCAAAAGTGGATCCCACCCAGTCTCTGATTGTGATGATAACACACACGGTGCAAGTTCCTTTGCCATGGAAACAGGCTTCTATAGGGCCTGAAACAGGGTCAATATTCCACAATTATTTCTCTTCTGAATTCAGTTTATAATTTCAACTTCCTTCTTGGTTTAGCTGCTAAAACTTTGCTCCAGACAAATGTCAGTTACAGGCAGCCCCCGCCACCCCACCCCCTGCTCCCACCTCTGTTTCAAGTTGGCTGTCCTGGAGCCAGCAAATGAAGCCCGGGAAATTCAAATCCCGGGCTTCATTTGCAATTGCGGTATGCCTACATTACCCCGCTAGTTTGATCTAGTGGGGTAGTGTAGACATACCCTTACAGACTAACGCAACTACCCCTCTGAGACTAAATTTGGTGGTACTTTTTGCTAACCAGGAGTGTGCACTACATCTATACCAATATATTTAAATAGTTACACAACCTAACATACCTTTATTTGGATTCTTGATTTTTATATTTCTTTATTAGATTAGAAAAATGGTGAATGATGATTTTTTTAATTTCTGAAATTATTTTTACACTTATGATTTGTGCCTAACTCTATTCCAATGAAAATTGGAATTCAAGTGAAAATGTGCAAAAACTTTGTTCTTATTAGTTAAATAAAGCTACCTTAAATGTGCTGAGTATAAGAAAAAAGTTTAGTAAAACATACTTTCTATTTAAAACGGACAGATTTATTAAAGAAGTATTATTTGGCACTAGTCAACGGAAAGATTGCTTCTGGTCACACCAATCTTCAGGGCTTTAGAATTAGTAGATCTCATTCTCTCACACCTAGTTTTTATTCATAGATTGGGGCTATGTCTAAACTGCTGCTTTTTTCAGCAAAAGATACACAAATCCTTTTTCCAATTGTTTTGTCGGAAGAGGCTTTTCCGAAATTTGGCCTGTATACACTGGGCCAAATTTCAGAAAAACCTCTTTCGGAAGAG